GCTAATAGTAATCACACTACTAAAATTTCAGTTTTTTGCGACGGTAAAATACCGTCGCTAATACTCTTAATACCGTCGCAAAAACCTTTTTGCGACGGTAAATGACTTTTTGCGACGGCAAGAGGAGGGTCGCAACTGGGAGCATTGCAAAAGAGTTTTTGCGACGGCACAATACCGTCGCTAATGTTTTGCGACGACATTTTTGCCTTTTGCGACGGCACTTTGCAGTCGCTAATAGTGTTTAAAATTTCTTAACTTTTTGCGACGGCACTATTTTACCGTCGCTAAAAATGTTATTCGAGACGGCAAAAAATGCCGTCGCTAATAGTCTTTTTTTGGCAACGGCAAGAACACTGTTTTTGCGACGGTGTGGTGCCGTCGCAAAAAGTATTAAAAATATGAAATTTTCTATTTTTTGCAACAATGTATTGCCGTCGCAAAAAGTATTAAAAAAATAATAAAATTTCTATTTTAAATAATAAGATTTCTATTTTTTGTGACGGTGTAATGCCATCACAAAAAAGAAAAAAACATGTTGCGATAAAATTATTAAAAATATTAAGGTTGCGTTTGGTAGAGTTTTATAATTATGATTTGAGAGTATGAGTTGTATTTTGAGTTTGTGGGGTTTGGAATTATGATTTGAGTGTAGAAAATTTGTTTGGTAAAGCGTTTTGAAAATAGTTTTGATTTGAGTGGGAAATTGTTGATGTGACATTTGATATTTGATACAAAAATTTACAATCAATCTCTTACGGGTAGGACTTCTCCTCCTTTCCCTAATTCCCTTCCTAACCTTTTCAGGATTCTTGAGTTTTTTGATTCTAAGTCGAAAGCCTAGAGAACCATGTATATATATATAAAAGTGAATGAGGACAAAAATCAATCGTTTAATCATCCCAAATTGAAATTTCACAGAAATGCTTATTATTACCTAAAAATTATGCTGATCTCAAATATAAAATCAATTTTGGATTATCAAGCCTCTAGGGCTCTCAATTTCTGATTCAAACACTTTAATTGTGACAGATACTTCCTTATTAAACAGATATGAACCAATATTCATACATTTTGCTTAATTAAACCTCATTTCACATGAAATTTCATAGTAAGCAATTAAGTGCACAGAATAAAGGACCGAAAATATACCAGAAACAGATATGAGGGTGGGGTTATTACACTCTCCCCCCTTAAATAAGTTTGGTCCCTCAAACTTGTTTTACCTCAAGATCAGAACAGATATGGATATTGGTGTTGCATCTCCTCTTCTTTTTCCCAAGTTGCTTCGGTTCCGTAATGTTCCTGCCATTCAACTTTTACCATTGGGATCTCTCGATTTCGTAATTGCTTCACTTGTCGGTCCAGAATTTGAATTGGTTTTTCCTCATAAGTTAACTTGTCATCTAGCACAATTTGGTGATAATCTATAGCATGTGATGGGTCTGGAAGGTATCCTCGAAGCATAGAAACATGGAACACGTTATGGACTTGACTCATATTTGGTGAAAGGGCAACTCGGTAAGCTACCGGACCCACTCTTTCCAGAATTTGAAAAGGACCGACATACCGGGGTGATCGGGGTGTTAACTTAGCCCTTTTTCCGAATCTCGGATGTCCTTTCATTGGGGTGACTTTCACGAACACATGGCTATCCACTTCAAATTCCAAATTCCTTCGCCGGTTATTTGCATAACTCTTCTATCTACTTTGAGCAGTTTTCAATCTTTCCCGAATAATTTTAACCTTTTCAGTCGTCAGTTGAACAATTTTGAGCCCTAGCAATGATCTATCCCAATTTCAGCCCAACACACGGGGGAACGACACGGTCTTCCATAAAGAACTTCATAAGGTGCCATCTCAATACTTAAATGGTAACTATTATTGTATGCGAACTCTACCAACGGTAAATGGGTTTCCGAACTTTCTAGAAAATTTAGCACACACATTCGGAGCATATCTTCTAGAGTTTGTATTGTTCTCTCGGATTGATCGTCAGTCTGAGGGTGAAAAGCTGTGCTGAACTTTAATTCTGTACCCATTGCTCCCTGTAGACTCTACCAGAATCTCGAAACAAACTTTGGATCCCTATTTGACACAATTGAGACCGGAACACCATGAAGCCTGACAATTTCATTCACGTAAATTATCTTAAGTTTATCTGCATTATATTGAGTCTTCACTGGAAGGAAGTGAGTAGATTTAGTTAACCGGTCTACAATGACCCATATAGAATTCATACCTCGTGGAGTCCGTGGTAACCCCACAACAAAATCCATGGTTAGATGTTCCCACTTCCATTCCGGGATCAAAAGGGGTTGCAGCAATCCTGCTGGTCTCTGATGCTTTGCCTTTACTTGCTGACATTGTAAACATTTAGAGACGAATTCCACGATCACCTTTTTTATACTCGGCCACCAAAAATTTTGTTTCAAATCCCGGTACATTTTAGTACTTCCTGGGTGTAGTGAAAATCTCGAGGCGTGTGATTCTTCCATCAGTTTCCGTTTAAGTTCCAACACATTAGGGACACATATTCGGTTTTGAAATTTGAGTACATAATCCATCAAAGTAAATCCCGATTTCGGTTTTGTCTTCATCTCATCACATATCTTCCTTAGAGTTCCATCTTCCATTTGACGTAGTTTGATCTCGTCGAGTAATGTCGGTTGGGCTATCACTGCTGCCACTATGGCCCCCTCTTCATGCATCACAAGATCTACCTCTATTTTGTCCAATTCACCCATCAATTCCTTTTGCTTCGTAAATAGATTTGCTAAATTTCCCACAGTCTTTCGACTAAGTGCGTCTGCAACTGTGTTGGCTTTACCAGGATGGTAATGGATCTGCAAATCATAATCTTTAATAAGTTCCAACCACCGTCGCTGCCGCATATTCAATTCTTTTTGGGTGAAAATGTATTTGAGACTCTTATGGTCGGTGTAGACTTCACAAGTAGTGCCATACAGATAGTGCAGCCATATTTTCAAAACAAAAACTACTGCAGCTAACTCAAGGTCGTGTGTGGGATAATTCTTCTCGTGGGGTTTCAGCTGTCGAGAGGCATGAGCAATAACTCTTCCATTTTGCATAAGTACACAACCAAGCCCTTTGTACGAAGTATCACTGTAGATTACGAACCCTTTAGTACCAGATGGTAAGGCCAGAACTGGTGCTGCAGTCAACTTTGTTTTTACTTCCTGAAAAGCAGATTCCCGCTTTTCTGACCATTCAAACGCAACTCCCTTTTTAGTCAATTGTGTAAGCGGTATAGCGATTTTGGAGAAATCTTGAACAACCCTCTTGTAATATCCGGCTAATCCCATAAAACTACGCACCTCAGTCACATTAGTAGGAGTTGGCCAGTTCATGATCGCTTCAATTTTATGTGGATCAACAGAGACTCCATCTTTTGTTATAGCATGCCCCAGAAAGGCCACCTCATGTAGCCAGAATTCATATTTCTTTAGCTTTGCATACAGCTTCTTTTCTCAAAGTGTTTGAAGAATTAAGCGAAGATGATTCTCATGAGCTTCCGCATTCTTCGAGTAAACGAGGATATCATCAATAAAGACCACCATGAACTCATCCAAATAAGGCTTAAAGACTCGGTTCATCAAATCCATAAAAGCTGTTGGTGCGTTAGTAACTCCAAAGGGCATGACCAGAAATTCGTAATGACCGTATCGAGTTCGAAAAGTTGTCTTCTCAACATCATTAGCTTTAACTTTCAATTGGTGGTATCCAGACTGTAAATCAATTTTAGAAAAGATCTATGCCCCTTGTAACTGGTCAAACAAATCGTCGATCTGCGACAATGGGTACTTATTCTTGATTGTTACTTTATTCAACTCCCTGTAGTCTATACATAATCGGAGTGTTTTGTCTTTCTTTTTCACAAACAGAACTGGTGCACCCCATGGAGAAACACTCGGATGGATAAGTCCCTTATCAAGCAAATCCTGTAACTGAATCTTTAATTCTTTCATCTCAACTGGTGACATCCTATACGGAGTCTTAGAAATAGGTTGAGTTCCTGGCGCCACTTCAATTGTAAACTCAATCTCATGGTCTATTAACTGCCCTGGCAATTCTTCCGGAAAGACATCCAGAAATTCACGAACAACTGGAATCAGATCAGTATTTCCATTCATCACTTGCCCTTCTAAAACACTGCATAAAAACCCCTGACACCCTTTCTGAATTAGTTTACAAGCCCTTGCTGTAGAAATCAAATATGGCGGAGAAGTTACACCCTGTCCCTGAAAGGTAGATTCCGATTGTCCTGAAGGATGGAAGCTGATTTTCTTAGTCAGACAGTCTATAGTTGCACCATATTCACTCAAGCAATCCATACCCAGAATAATATCAAAATAGGTCATGTCAAGAGGTAACAGATTCGTATATACCCGGATATCCCCAATTAGGAGTTAACAAGAGTTATATACAGAGGTACAAATCATAGGATCCCCCAAGGGTGAGGACACACATAACATATAAGATAATACTTCTTCAAATTTATCTAAATTTTGCGCAAATAATTTTGACACAAAAGAATGGGCATAGCTAGAATCAAACAATACATGAGCAGAATGTCCATGAACAATAAAGGTACCTGACACTACTGTCGCCGCATTTTGCCCATCCCCTGGAACCAATGCAAACACTTTGCCTTGCCTCGCAACGTTTTTATTGTTAGTAGGCTTCGCAACCGACTTGGTGTTGGAAGTTCGTGCAGACCCTACTGAACTGGTAGCAGCCCTATTGGCGTTTTGTTGATTCCTTTGAGGGAAATCCCTTATCAAATGACCTGTTTTGCCACATTGAAAACAGGCTCCAGATTTCCGGTAGCACGTTCCTCGATGCTTCTTTCCACATTCCAGACAAACATGAATTGAATCCTGACTAGGAGTAAAAGTATTTGAAGTCCCTGAATTTTGTTTCTTGTTTGGTAGAGTAGTTGTCCCCTTTGACTATTGAGTATTCTGCCTCTTCCCTTTCCATTAAGAAATTCGGTTCTGAGTAGCGAGGTTTCCTTCTGCTATAACAGCCCTCTCCAACACATCGACATAAGTGGGTAACTTCAACATGTTAACCTTGTCCATTATAGCATTCCGTAATCCACCTTCAAATTTACGCGCCTTCTTGTAATCTGTGTCCACCATATGAGGTGCAAACCGGGTCAGTTCTGCAAATTGAGTTTCATATTCGGCAACAGTTTTATTCCCTTGTCTGAGAGTTACAAATTCTGTCACCTTCTTATCTCGCATACTTTGAGGGAAATACTTGTCATAAAACAGTTCTAGGAATCTATCCCATGTTAATCCTGGGTGTATGGTCCTTATAAGCATCCACCATCTCCGTGCCTCGTCCTCAAGTGTGAAGGCAGCCAGTTGTACTTTTTGAGCTTCGGTGTAAGGAAAAACTTCAAATAACTTCTCTATTCCCAACACCCATGTTTCAGCTTTCGTTGGTTCTATTCCTCCTTTGAATGATGGCAATTTCATCTTTTTAAACTCTTTGGTAATGGTAATAGTTCGGTCCACAGCATGAAAGTCTTGTACTACGGGTGGAGGTACCGGTGGTGGTGGCGGTTGTGGTTGTGGCTGCTGTTGTTGTTGCTGTAAGGTTTCTGCCATTTCCATAATCAGTCTTTCCATTTTGTCCAACCATGCAGAGGTAGCATCTTTCGGGTCCTCTGTCCTTGTTCTCACCATA